ACATAGCAGCTTTCATGGAAAAGGCTCAATCTATAAGTTTAAAATACTGCCTTTATGTTTAAATGCTATGATTTTTCAAAAATGTATTCATAAATATATATTACTTGAAAATGCTCAAATATGACTCACGGTAGAAGGAACAATTCCAGAGTGGTGTTTATGCACCTGAAAAGCTAGTAAGAGCGGTAGACTGCTGGATCTAGAGTGTCCACTGACGTCTTTCCTGAATTTGATCAAGACGGCCTCTCTCGTCTACTTCTCCAAACACACACTACTCACTCATTACTTTGGAGAGATCTCAAAACAGACCCCAAAGCATTCTCATGGAAATATATTAAATATAAAGAGGAAAATGAGATAACAGCCTATCACCATTGTTCTTCTAAACCAGCGGCTCTCAACCTGTGGGTTGTGACCCTTTGGGGGGGGTCAAAGAACCTTCTCACAGGGTCACCTAAAACACCCCAAAACAGAGATGTTTATAATTTATAACAATAGGAAAATTACAGTTACAGAGTAGCAATGAAGTAATTTTATGGTTGGGGTCACCACAGCCTGAGGAACTGTGTTAAAGGGTCGCAGCACTGGGAAGGCTGAGAACAGTGTTCTCATCAGAGACTGGGCACTAAGAGATCCATAGAACTGGATAGTAAATCAGTTTTATATTTATTCCAAGAGCCACCATCCATCATAAATACCTATAATCTTGGATCAACTATTAATAATGGGTTTAAACTCCCAGACCTCCACTTAACTGCTTTGCCACTTAGCTTCCTTACAGAGCCTAAAAAATGCCACCGGTGTAAAGGAGTTTAAGTTATAAATTATAGTTGTCTCAAGTACTGAAAATGGCTGCCCAAGACTTCCAAATTAATTTTCTCCTGAATGGAATTCAGACATCTCACTGTCTCCTGTCACTCCAATCCTGTACCACTCTTTGCCTAGCTTTCCCTTTGAGATATGACTGGAGACTCGGACGTTTTAGACCTTGGCTAAGGTGTCAAAGAAGCATGAGAAGAGGGCGCATTATTGACCCACTTGAAGTAAATTTCCCACAATTCCCTTCAGCTAAGAAAGTAAGAATGACTTTCCAATGGACCAACCCAGCATCCTCAAATCAAAACGTAAATTGGAAGCTAAAACATCGGAAGAAAGGAGAATTACTTTTCCTTAGGAAGACCTAAGAAGGAATACTGTGAAGCTTCCGAGATGTTGCCTTGGTTAGATGTTGTGAAACATTTCTGGTCACAGCATGGCAATTTTAAAATATCCCAGAGCTGCCTATATGATTTAGAACATAAGAGACCTCACAAAGCCAGGCGCCCTCACAGTGGAATTGAGCAGGATCCCAAAACCTCCCAGGATCCCTGAGTGAGTGTCTGCAGGAGCCTGGGGGACCCACCTTCCACCTGGGAAGGGTGGGGACTTCCTACCTCTTCTCAAATCCCAGGATGCAGCTGCTCGCACTGCTTCTCAGGCCGTGCCGGCTGCTGATGACTGAGAACCACAATTTCAGTTCCTACAGCCCCTCTGAGTGGAGTTAACAGCTATTCGAAGGACCTCAAACTACATATAAGGCTTCTCACCATAGAACAGACCACCCATGTGGCATCTCCCCTCCCCCCATTGACCAGATGAGAGGGACGAACACGCAAATTTGGAGCCAGACTGAGGTTCTCTCATTTTTAAGACCTGGAATGTCTGACTTCACCTCAGCTCTGTGCTCTGGACCTGGAGATGCCTTCTCAGAGACTCGCAGGTCAGCGACACCCCCCACTTGCATCCTGGACTCCTTCCTCAAGTGTTTTCTAACAGATCCAACTTGGGGTTCAGTATGATGCTGGATAACAGAGCCACTTATGAGTACAAGGGGTGACTGGATGACTAAATTATAAACTGTATTGCTTGACATAATCAAGAAAAAACTATTTGGTTATCAAATGTTTTGCTCGCAGAGAGTGCTGTATTTGCCACTGGTATATCCCGATATTCCGTGAATAGAAGCAAAGCGTATTGAAAACAATGCGCCCTATTCTGAAATGGCACGGTTGATGGATTTGCCCTCTCCTCCAAGTGGCGAAGTGGCGGCCCCTGCTCTGAGAACAGAATCCTGCCAGTCTTGTTCACTGATGCCTGACACAGGGGAACTGCTTAGCATTTGTTGAATAAATAAGCCTTAAGGTAAGCATTGTTTAAGCTTTCCTGAGAAGCTACTTTAGACTTGTACGATTTCCTGGGATTATAGGCAGTGTGTCTGCACATGGATACCCTTTAATAAAACCTTGATTAACAGATGGCTACACGAGAGGCTTACTGAATTTCACTTCAGACGGTTTAAGCACTGACTGAACACCTCACTCGCACCCCTAGCGTAGCTACATGAACAGGAAGCGTCTGACTGTGTCCTCTGGGTACAAGTTTCTGGTCTCCTACCTGTAAAAGAAGTGGGGATTAAAAACATCCCCTCGCCGGGCGGTGGTGGTGCATGCTTTTAAATCCCAGCACTCGGGAGGCAGAGGCAGGCGGATCTCTGTGAGTTGGAGGCCAGCCTGGTCTACAAGAGCTAGTTCCAGGACAGGAACCAAACAGCTATGGAGAAACCCTGTCTCTCCATATTGGAAAAATCCAATAAATAAATAAATAAAATAAAAACATCCCCTCCTTTCAACTCGGAAAGACTTTCTGGATCTTGTCCCCATCCCATGGGACTAGAGAGATCAGAAGACAGAAGACGGGCTCTCAAGCTACCACTGAGGGGTGACCCACAGAACTGGAAGACACAAGCAAAGCTTTGGCGCGGCCATGACAGCCCTCGGGGTTAGTTCTCCCATTTAACAATTCATCCCTGAGAGGCGTACCAACAGGAAACAGCCTGAGGTATGTAGATGGAAGCTACCCAAGCGACAGACACGTGGCCATCAGGAGACAGCCATGACGAGCCTCCTTACTGTATCCAGCACATTTTCTGGGAAACAAAATATTTGACTTGACTGGGTTAACTTTAGTCTGAGCATCTCTTTACCAAAATCCTGGACAGAGCATCAACAAAGATAACATGAGAAACGGTCAGACAAATCTGGGGTGAGAGAAAATTGACCAGGCCTTTTAAAGAAGTCAGTGACAAGAGGAGATGGGAACAGAGGAGGGAAAGAAAAGAGGGGAGAAGAGACAGAGACACAGAGGAAGTTTTAATATCACAGTCAAATATAACACGCTTTGTTTTGATTTTCACCTGAGCCTGGTTTGAAAAAAAAATACACATCTACAAAACATATTTTTGGAACAACTGGGGAAGCATGAAGTCTACACCGGTTATTAGATGATTTCGGGATACTAGGGTTCACTCTGTATGTACATAACACATAACGGCACTATGGGTTGTGGCAGGATGCTAATTTCCTTGAGATACACATTCAGTATTCGGGATGAAATGTCATGATGTAACATTAAAGAGGCCCAGAAGAAAAGCAAGATGAAGCAAATTCAGCTTTGGGTTAACTGCTGGGCTACATGTCCAGCAGCGAATACTCCTTGTATTATTATTTTGTCTGAAAAACAGTCCTACAGATTGTTTAAAGTTCGTAGGCAGCGACTTCTCAAGAACTTCCCTCGCAGCCCTGTAGGCTCCTGACTGAAACAGGTGTTCTGTATTTCCCCAGAGCTCCCTTCCCAGACTGGTCTCAAACAGAACGGCTACCGTGGTACATGGTACCTTTAGCCATGGCTTCTTTTCTTAGGTCAGTTCCCACATTCCCGTCACAAAAACACCCGCTCATTTGCCTGGTTCCTTCCGATTGACAGAGCGCCTTTGCCCACACACCCCACATAAACTGACTTTTCACTCTTCCTTCCTAAAATACCCAAGCTTTGTCTCTGAACTTTACAGAGCCGTTGGAGCTCTTTAATATTTTCTAAGAGAAACATTTCAAACAAGCAACCCCACAATTATTCACGGCCGCCGAGAATAAAGGCAACAGGCTCCCCCAGCAAGACCTTCCAAAGCTTCTGCCTGACTTTTAAGGTTGAGCGTCATCGCTTGCTCACCTGCAGGCCGGGCCCGCCAGGTGCCAGTCATTTGTTTGTCTCGGGAGGGAGCGATTTGATTACACAAAATTCTTTTTCAGATCGTTTGAAATCTCAGCCACACTGGGACAAGTGGCGGAGCCTGCCAGCTCGATGGGTGGACTCCTGGACATACTGAGCCAGGGACAAAGACAAGGAGCCACCACAGGTTAAAATCCAAAGCTAAAGGAGCTGAAAAAGAACGAGAGCATAAAAAGATGCGAGGCTCGGCCAGGCCATTATAAATGCTCTACCTGCCATAACTACATATAAGATGATGTATTCCTCGCACTTCCTGTAAATGAGCACTGTGCCCTAAGGGACGCTGGGAAGCGTTGGCAAGTGCGCACGCCAACAGGCCCAGCGGCATTCATCCACTGCTGCGCCACCTATGCACGCTGAAGCTGGCAAGTAACCAGACATCTTTACGGCCCCCCATTTTCCTTACCTTATTACAGAGCGCATCATTTTTAAAAGCATTTAAATGAACCAGATGTTAACCCCATTCATTCCACTTTCTCCGGGAATGTGTCAATAATGATTTTTAAAATGCAAAAGAAAATGTCAAAGTATTTTGTTCCCTGGCTAAGAATACATCCGTGGAATAGGAAAGAGAAAATTCATAAAACACTCTACGGTCATTCAAGAAATAATTACAAGGTGTGTCAAACCACAGAAAATCGAGCAAGCACCAAATTAGCAACCAAAAAAAAAAAAAAAAAAAGGATGTCTTGTGTCAAAATGGCTTTTTCACTCACTCATTTGAAAAACAAGTTTTGAAAATTAAATTCCATCCACCGGCTCAGAACAGCACACATTAAGGCTTGACTGTTTGGCCATTATCCACGCGGCAGTGCTTCCTCCCTCCCTCCCTCCCTCCCTCCCTCTCTTTCTCACTCCCTCAAACGCATTAATTGACAGGAAGCCTTGGGGCTCACCTCCCATAGTGTCTTGAAGTCTTCCTGTTCAATGCGGAGGAGTTCACTGCTCTCTCTGGTAACGATGGTCGCATGGCGGGGCGTGTTGTCCAGTATGGACTCTCCAAAGGCTGTCCCGATCCCCAGGGTGCAGATGGTAACAGCATCCTGAGAAGCGTCCCCCCCCAAAAAAAGGTCATTAGAAAATTAAAAATGCAATGGATGAGAGACTAATTTTTCTTCAAATTAAAGTATAATTTGTAAAAAAAATACCCAATTCTTATTGTGTGGTTCAACTTATTTCAGTAAATATATACACTGATATAAATGATATGCCATGAAGACTTACGACCCTTCTTTTACTCCTAAAGGTTCTCTGTATCCCTGACCCAGGCAAGACCCCTCCCCACCAGAGGAAATCACAGCCCTGATGATTTCCATCCTCAGAAGGAAGTTTTGCCTGCTGGGGAACTTTACATAGAAAGAGACAGTAGGCTCTGATCTGTGGCTGGCTTCTTTTGCTCAATGTAACATCTCTGAGTAACCCCCGTTCTCACACAGGTCAGTAGATGTGCATCCTCGTGTAGGTGAGTAGCTTTGGCCAAGCTGGAGATGCCAAGCTCTTTGTATCACGCTGCCTCCTGCAGCCAGAACAGAGGAAGAGCAGCACCGGAGAAAGTACAGGGTGGCTGTTTATAAAACATCCTGAGTCCGTGCTCAAGAACGTGCTGAGGAAATTGTAAAAACCGATTCCTCTCCAGACGCAACATTGGCAAGAACTTTTATATTTGGCCCTAACTCCTTTCAAACAATGCAAAGAGCCGCTCGGAACCATCCGGAGATGGATTCTGCAGGCATTGGAAGCTAAGGAGACACACAAGGGTTACCCTCCAGGTTAGAAGATGCCCTTTTCCTTACACGCATCTAGCACAGAGTCGTAGGCAAATATTATTCAGATCCAGCCAGTGGCTCTGCAGTCACATCTCTGAGACAAATGCACGCTAGAACCCTTGGACCATGGTAGATTGCTTCTGCAAAAATATTACCCTCTAAAACTGTGTTCAGGAAAATAAAAGTCAATAATATTTCAGAAAAAGACAAGAAAAAGATGTGGGCACATTTAAGAGGAGCCGCTGATAGACTCTCCAGAAGGGCATCTGCAGACAAAGGCATTCAAAGCATACCCAGGACTGAAATATCAGTGGTCGGGAAGTTGGTGACTAACTTCACATTCTAGTAGAAGCATGAGATGTGTTGAGACAAATCACAGGCTCCCACACATTCCCTAAAACGAGGGATCCCTGGAGGCCCCCACTAGACCACTGTATTCTTCTATCAGTTCAGCTTCCCGGCCAGTTTCTTGCTTCATACATACTTTCCAGTGTTGAGACTTGTTTATTTGTTTATTTCATTGTTGTGTTTTTCGAGACAGGGTTTCTCTGTGTAGCCCTGGTCCTGTCTGTCCTAGAATTCTCTCTGTAGTCAAGGCTGGCCTCAGATTCAGGAACAACCCCCCGCCCCCTGCCTCTGCCTCCTGAGTGCTGGAGTTAAAGGTGGGTGCCACCACATCGTGGCTAGTGTTAAGACCTTTTAAGACTTGAGAGAGACCCATCATGAGGACCGCAGCAAGAGTGCCGTGAAGACGTCAGCCACACAGGAACTAACTGGTGCTTACAGATTAACCGGACATCGTCCTCACCTCCTCTCCTGATACAGGCAGTTTGTCACCAAAGCACATACAAATATGGACTGTGAAACTCAACATGACCTGTCTTCTTGGGCGAGAACGGCTCTTGTAATAAAGACACAAGATGGACCGCTTGCTTTCCCTCGGAGCTTTCAATTTATCCAGGCCTAGTCATATTCCAAAACACGATTGTGGTGGTATTGCTACCCACACTGCTTGGAATATTCCACTGAACAATAATGTCCACTGTAACAGGTGCCCAACCACTTGCCCGAGTCCAAGGATCTGCCATCACCAGAAGTGACTGTGTGGCCAGCCCTTCCTAAATCCCTTCCTTTGTGCTTGATCCAGTCAAATCTAAAGACAGGGAGTCACAATTGACAACAGCCAGTGGTGTAGCACTTGTCTAGGGTGCAGGAGGACTGAAGATTTGATTCAGCACGTCAGTTAAACTCCACACACGTTCTCATCTTGAAATCAGGCTAGGAAATCCCTCCACATTGTTCGCAGCTCCAGACTTCAATTTCATCCGGTTCAAAACAATTTTTAGGTCAAACTTACTTAGGAATTGGAACGGATGTGGGAGGTGTTGGCTAGGCACTGAGATAGTTGAGGCCAGGGAAACTGAAGGGCTCAGAAACCATTCGGACTTTCTAAAGGCTAACCGATGTGTTTGCGGTCCACGGCTGCCTCTCCTTGTTGACATGGGAGTCTAGGCTCCTTACAGGCTCAGGAGGAAACTGTCAAATGACATCACATCCAAACGTTCTCCCAAGCTTTGGGGTTAATAGGCTGTTGTGAACACGGGTTAGAAGACAAGATAAATGCGGGTGATTGTAGAGGATCCTGTGTCCACACTCCGATCTCACTATACCCTACAGGTCAGCAGCATTCAAAGCCTGGACCCCTATAGATGCCTCTGCATGTTGCCACGCATGTCTGTTTCTACATGCAACATGAGATTTCTTTAAAGCCGGCATGGAGGCTGCAGGTCTACTCCCACCGCCACGCTTATCCCTCAGGAACCGTTCAGGAGAGCATTCATGACGTCTGCTTGTCTGCGGATTGCTTACTGAGGTCACCTGAGAAGAAATGGTTTCGGTACCATAGAAAAGGAAGCAAGCAGTCAGCACTGGCCAGAGAGCAGGGAAACACTGGATAATGCCCTGTTCCACATTAGTGTTGAGGACCTAATGAGAAGTAAAGATTCAAGAATATAAAAGACTTCATGAGATGAAGGAGGGATTAGCCAAGGCTGCTGGAGCCCTACCAGGTTACCCCTGCATGTTCCTAGTGAGTGAAAGGCTTAGGATCAGATTTTTCATTTGTTTAAAGACTTTGAAATATTTGTACTATATGCACATATACATACACACATATGTATATATACATACATACATATATGGGAGGAGACCTTAGTCTCAACACAAAACCACTTCTGTGTTATATTTCCTCATGCACAGTCTGAAAACAACTCCATGCAACATCCCTGACAAGTCCGTACACACACTGAGCTGTTTTGTGTAGACACGCGTGAGCACATGTGCATGGGGCTGTACAGGAGCACACGGGGGAGACCGAGGCGGGGTCTTTTGAGAGATCATTTCTCACTGAGCTCAACACTCACCAATTGACTAGGCCGGCTGGCTAGCGAGCTCCAGGGATCCGCCTGTCTGCACCTCTCCCAGCCCCTGTCACGGCAGGGTTACAGAGGCCTGTGACCAAGTCAGTTTTGTCACATGGGTACTGGAGACCTGACTGTGAGTCCTGGTGCCTCTGTGGCAGGGACTTTATTGAGTGAGCCATCACTCCATTCCCTGAACTGTGTTTGAACTGCCTGCCATACGGGATCAGATACAGAAGCTTCCATTCCTAGCACCCCAAAGCTTCAGAACTTGAACCGTTTAGGATTCTGAGGTTAGGAGTGCTATAATCCTGCACTAGCATCCCCCCGCCCCTGCCCGTTATCACTGTTTCATAAGCTAGACAAACCCAGACTCAAAGATGTTCAACATCCTGCCCAAATCAGGCCAGTTATAGAAAGAACCGAGACCAGAAACTAGCTGATCTCTTTGCCAAGATACACACGGCCTATTCCTTCTGATCCTTGTAAAAACATACTGATATGTCATTTGACAACACAGGCAGTCTGTAGCCCACGGCCCGCCCGGTCGTCACTCTGTGGGGAGCGTTCCGAGTCAGCCATGTACGGAGGTCCAGCTCCCCGCTGCGTCTGCTTCCTGTCTCGTTAGGGTTATTGACGCTGTGATGACACACTATAACCAGAAGCCACTGGGGGGAGGGTTTGTGTCACTCACAGTCCCATAGAACAGGGTGGGTACCTGGAGCCAGGGACTGATGCAGAGGCCATGGAGGAATGCTGCTTACTGCCTTGCTCCCTCTGGCTTGTTCAGCCTGCTTTCTTATAGAACCCAGGACTATCAGCCTAGGGGTGTCAGCCCAGGGATGTCCCACCACAGTGGGCTGGGCCCTCCCCCATCTATCATTAATTAATAAAATACCTTACAGACTTGCCTACAGTCCAGTCTTACAGAGGTTTTTTTTTTTTTTTCCAATTTGGGTTCTTCCTTTCAGGTGAGTATAGCCTATATCAAGTCAACATAAAATTGTTCACATGGACCTCAGTCTGAGAATACCAGTAACTAAATCTGCCCAGGCCTTTGCCGTACAAATCTGCAGCTGTCTCAGATGCTGGTACAAAAGCAAAAGATATATGCAAGCCTCTGGTGACAGGCACCAACCGCCAGGCAAAGGAGGTCCACACGGAGTCATACAAAGGTGAATCAGAAGAGGCCTGAGTCTTGGTAGGCCTAGATTACACATCCTCCTCCACAGCTTTGAGCAATATGTTCCCAGAATCCTCAGTGAAATAGCCACACTCGCCTTTAATAAGATTAATAGCAGAGTACATTTTTAAACATTTATTTGGGGGGGCAGCCGCCATGGCACACAGGTGGGGGTCAGTGTGTCTACTTGGGGGAGTTGGTTCTCTCTTCCTACCACGTGGGCTTCAGGACTCGAACTCAAGTAGTCAGGCTTGGCAGCAATCCCCTTTGCCAGCTGAGCCATCTTGCCAGAATTAAATAGGAATAAACAATATAAAGGAAACTGTAATTCCTCACTCCGTCACATTGCCACACATGTATAGGTTTTCTCCACTCCTAAAAAGCAAATTATATTTTTGCTATTATTTAAACAACAGCGAATCTCTATAGTCATGTTGTATTAAGCTTCACCTAATGATGGCTTTCAACACTTAAATTCCAAGTTTCTCTGTCCCCCCCAGTCTGGATGTCAAGTGGTTTGAATGATCCGCAAAACACTTGAGCTCTCTGGGGGAGCGCGTATTCAAAGGAACCCTTCTGGCAATCCTGCCGTAAATCAAAGAATCCTTTTGTACTGCATCTAATCACCCCTAATTTATCTGCTTTGTGTGTCTGCATTATGGAAAATTCACATC